TATTTTTCTACAAAAAGCAATTTAAAGAGTCATTTTTAATATAGACAAAAAGTAAATAAATAATAAAGATGAAAATCGTTGGCTTTAATTTGAGAATTGGATTAGTAGAAATTGCTTTTACAATATATATATAAAGAAAAATAAATTAATAATAAAGGTGAAAATCGTTGGCTTTAATTTGAGAATTGGATTAGTAGAAATTGCTTTTACAATATTTTTATTTGGTTCAATGACTAATTTAGCTTCTAAACTTTTTCATTTAATACTAAAATTATCACTAGCTTTTCCATCAAAAAAAAAAATTATCACTAGCTTTGTTTGAGACCATTTTTGGGATTAAAATGGTTCTTTTGTAGGAGAGTTGTTAAAATTAATATCAATTTTTATTTTTTAAGTTAATTATTACAAAAAATAAAAATACATTAATATACTATTAAATGTACAAATTAAAAAATTTCTTAAAAAAAAAATAATGCGTGGCATGGAAAGATGAAATTTTTTTGCTGATTTGGCAATATTTGACTCTACACAATATTGTGGGACCTTCAAATTATAAATTTTATTTTTATTTTTTTATCCATTAATTTAAAAAATTGAAAAACACTTCATCTTCTTCCTCCAATCCTCCTTCATCCTTCTCTTTATCTCTCCTTCCTCCTCCCCTCTCCATCTTCATCCTCCATCTTCATCAATTTTATTTGGTAAAGCCAACGAGAGACCACATAAAACTTTTCATTCCAAATGCAATGTTGGATCACAACATGCTTCCGTGGAGAAGACTTCCACCGAGTAAAGAAAAGCTAGAAACAAAAGAGAAAAAGCGACCAAAATTAATTGAGAAGATAATTGAGAAGAAACTTTTGTGGAGCTCAGTTCAATGCATTCATGTGGTCCAAAATTAACAAGGATAAAAGGTGCTGTTTTTACCTTTGAATAATTGTTGTGTTCAACCCCGAATGAGTATGTGGTACACAGAATAGCGATGAGAAGGTTCAAGAAAGCATAGCCCAGGTTCAATAACTGATGTCACTATTAGCATGTAGTTCAAAATTAATTTCTTTTTGTGATAATTTTAAATGCTCTATATTAACTTCATACATTATAAAAGAGATGTATTTAATTATTAGTCAAATTTATAAGTAAAAAGATACTTAAAAACTTTATTGTTTTAATAAAATATTAAAAAAAAAAAGATAATCTCATTTTTACTTTAAAAACTAAAATATTTTAATTTTTTTATAATGAGAATTTATTAAAATAATATAATTTTTAAAATATCTTTTTAT